GCTTTCTTCACCACATTTGCTTATTCACCCGCTTTGTCTTCAGCGGTTGTCTGGAAGGTGAGCATCACAGAGGCATTGTCATTTCTAACAAGATCTAGGTTGAGGCTGCTGCGGGTGGTCCAGAGAATAACTGGTGCTGACAAGAGCAGTGGTTGTCAACCCTGCCTGCCCCCGGGACTCATCTGGGTCTTGTCTGTTTGTTCTTTGAATATTGGTGGCTGAGCCTGGTTTAGTAGGGGTTCAGTCATGTGCAGGTATGGGTCGTTTTTAAAGCTCGGTGGTGTTTCCACTCTGCTGGGAGGTTTGTGATCCCCCAGTGTGAAGGCTCCTAGGAGAAGCTCGGGAGTCGGGTTGAAGACCTTGAATTCTGTCCACATTTGCCAGGTTTGGTCAGATGTGCCCGTGTGTCCTTTTGCAGCGATGGGTGGATGCAAGGCACTAATCATCTTTCTGACCCCATTTTGCCCTCCTTGGAGTCTTGGGTGCTTTTAAAAGGCGGGGTATTTCTATAGTACCCTAAACAGCTGTATCTTGGCTCAGATTTGGGGGCTGCGACCCGCACGATCAGTAGTTCGAAACCACCAGCAGCTCCGCTGGAGAAAGACTGGGATTTCTACTCCCTGCCACGGTCACGGTCTCAGAAACCACAGCGGGTGGGAGCGCTGAGTCAGCTTTGACTCGAAGGCAGCTTTGGGTTTCTGGCTTTTTGTTTTGGGGGGATTTGAAGGGTTTGTTTTGTTTTGGGGGGATTTGGGGTTTGGGGTTGGGTGTGTTTTTTTTGTGTGGCATTGATGAGTTTTTTCTTCAACAATGCTGCCCTCTAGTGTCCTCACATAATGAATAGAATCGTGTAAAAAACGCCTTCTCTTGCCCCAGGGTTATTTCCTGACAGAGGGCTGAACAATTCGCGGAATTTGTTCTCTGACAGTGGAAAGAAATAAATACAGGCGCTTGCTTATTCAGATAAGATGCGCTTGTAGTTGGTGGTATCACGACGCTACCCCGAGGACCTGCCATCTCTCCTGCTTTCCGGGCTGCAGCCTGGACAGAAGCCCCTTCCCCAGCCCCCTCGCTCTGCCCTGAAGGGTCAGCAACCATACTTGACCCGGACGGACCCGGGGACCCTGGAGGGTCCCGCGCAGGCTCTTCCCCTCTCCGAACGTTTGCGGCGAAGCAGACCGGGCGCGATGCCGCGGATCCATCTTGTCCCCCGCGTCTCCGTCTTCGTCACACCTCCCCACCGCAGGTGCCTGCCATCGCCCCCTCAGGTCATCCCCGGTCGCCCTGTGCCCCGCCACCCACGACATCTCTCGTCCTGAAAGCAGCCACCTCCGTGGACCGCAGATGGCCTTGGCCAGACTCCTTCGTCTGCTCCAGGGGCTTCCCATCGTGAGCAGAGTGGTCTACACAGGCTCACGCCCACCCCACCCCACCCCATCTGCCTCGCCCTTGCTCCTAGGCCACCCCGACGCCGTCACTGCTCGTCCCTCGGTCCAGAGGCCCCGTGTGCCCAGGTGACACCGACGGACAGGCGTCCTCTCGTCGTGGATGCTCGCCCCAGCGGTCCCCTGCCTCTAGATTCGCAGACACCTCTCCGTTGCTTCCTCGCTGGGCCGCCGATCATCGCTCCCCTTTCTCCTCCAGCCGCTCCCAGGGAGCCTCAGCCGCCCCCAAGAATTCACAATCGGCAGGAAAGCATTTTCTCCAGCCAGTTCTTCCAGCGCCCCGTTTCTCCGGCTCTCTCTGTCACCACTGCCTTTGGCGTCGTCGGTCAGGCATCTCCATTTACGCGCGCGCAGAGCGGAACGCTGGCTTCTCCCACCGCCTACTGCCAGCCCCCGAGCCCATCCTTCCCTCAGTTTCCCTGTCTCTGAAATGGCTAGGGAACTGGGAGATTAAATGGGTACCCTCGGCTCCTCCCTTTTGCTGACTACATTCGGTCCACCCGCAAGTTCTACCTGCGAGAGCGATTTCAGCCGATCCACTCTCTCTGCCTTACCTGCTTCCTTCCTAACGATCTTCCTGTTTCCCGGGCCTCCCCCTCCCACCGATTCGCCCCTGCACAACCCGAGTGCAGGGTCTGACGTGAGCACCACCTGCCTTTACAGATGGCCAGGGCTTCCCACGCAACTTTGAGTAACGTGCAAACAGACGTTGCCCCTGCCGATTTCAACTTGTCCGCCTGCCTCCCTCATTGCCTCTGCCACACAGCTTCCTTCTAATTCCTGGAACTAAGTCCTTATCTTAGGAGCCCTGGTGTCACAATGCTGACTGCTAACCACAAGGTCCTCAGTTCAAAACCGCTAGCCGCTTGTTGGGAGAAAGACGGGGTTTCCTGCTCTCTCTCTCTCTGGGAAACTCATAGGGACATTTCTTTCCCGACCTCTAGGCTTGCTGTCGCACTGCCTTGAGGCCAGTGAGCGTTTGAGAAGGTCTATCCCCTTGTCTCCCCATCTCATAGGGGACTTCACGTTGTAAAAAATAACGTCCTGGTGTCTCCATCTTTCCCACTGTACTCTGAACGCCTTACATCCAGGACTGCGGCATCTGCTTGACTCTCAGCCGACCACCCAGTGCTCTGCACAGAGCGGGACAGAGCACAGCCGTTGACTACCTACCGTAGAAGAAGGGAATAGAGATACAGGAAGAGTCACAACCTCTATGCCACCTGAACTTTTCTCGTCAGAGCTTGCCACAATTGCCATGTGGCCCCACTGCCACCCCCAGAGTTCTGTGCTCGCTGGGTACACAATGGAGGTAGGGGCGTCTCAGGCTCCATTCATTTGGATCATCTCTGTCTTCAATGTTCAGCAACAGGTGTGGTTTGCCGCAATAGCCCCAGCCCCCAGGACAGCTGATACAGAGATATATGGTTTGAGCAAATGCTCTGGCTCTGAACAAACAGGATGGGGTGGGGGATGGGGGAGACAGATTTGGCAGGAACAGAGAAGCCCAAAGAGAGAGAGCACTTCAGGGGGCAGAGACTTAAATAAGAGGCACACATCCCATGTGTATAATAAAATGAAGAGCTAGGTCATTTCATGTAACTTTCCATGCCACATTTGTTTTATGCAGAGAGAGTGACATTGGCCGGCTTTGTCCTCAGTAATAATTTGAAACTTGGGAGTATTTCTCCAAGAAAGAAAAACTATTTTGCTTGTCCATCAAATTCTGCCACTGTTGAATAGGCATGCCCATCACCCAAAGAAATCAAGAGCAATTTACAGTGGTTTACTTAGGTTAAGTAAACTAAAGAGCTAAGGCCCTAACCCTGGCTCCCTCCATCTAAAACACAGAGCTAAGGCCCTAACCTATGGCCCGTAGCAATGTAATCAGTACTGGCTCATGAGAAATAAAAATAAGAACACGTCTCCCTTAACATTACTTTGAGACAAGGATAATATTTTTTTCTGAAGACTTTGTAATTCACTGTTATTCATGACACAGAGAAGTTCATGACACCCTTTGAAAATGTCAAATGACCCGGGATAATGTATGTTTAACTCATCCACTCTCAGGAAGAAGCCCTACCCTTTCTCTGAATTTCCGCTAACGTGAATACGGTCTCTCCGGACTCCCTGATTGTATATCCCACCTTTTCCACTCCACCCTCCAGAACGGGGATTCAGCTTCCTGTTCAGGAACTATGATGCCAAGCTGAAAGAGGCTGATGAGCAAGCTGGGTGGGGGCCCGGGGCAGGACCCAGGAAATCAAGTACATGGGTGTCTTAGAACAAAATTTGGTTCAAATCGGTCAGGGACAGGGTGTGTCCCTGTAGGCTCTGAGGCTCAGTGGCTTCAGCTGTTGGTTCAGCATGTGATACATTTATCTTTCTGCTAAACACGCTGTTGAGTCACCTCTATTAAATCACCACCCTGGGTAAGCCCAGCTCTGCAAACCCAACTCTCTCTGCCCTCCCTGACCCCCACATTCTGCAAAGTCAAAGTGAAGGCTTTCTCGTACTACTCACTTTTTCAGAAACAAGAGACCCAGCTTCTGAAGGAGGTTGATCATACATTCTTTTACATGGCCAGGAACCACCAAGCAGTGAAAATTCAAGAACTTCAAAGGGTCTTTATGTTTTTAGTATCCTTTATCACGGTTGCTGCTTCAAACTGAAAATAGAAGGTCAGTTTACTGTAAAAGGACCACCAGCTCCCAAACCATCCATATTTCAGGGTGGTCAATCATATTGTCACTAATATTGAAGTAACCGTGTTAAGCTAGAGGTTAAGTGAGTGGCCGACCGTAATGGAAGGTTGGTGGTTCAAACCAGGTAACAGCTCTTTCAAGGGAAAAACCAGGCCATTCCTTCTGTGAAGCTCTCAGCCGCTGGAACTCCCGGGGTCAGGTCGACACTGTCCTGTAAGGCCACCATGAGTCGGGATTGGCTCGACAGCAACAGGTATATAGACAAACAAATCATTGCACTGAGCTCCAACTTTAGGGGAGGGCAAGAAATGAGGTCATCGAACGAGACCCTGAATTTCTATCTGTCTGCACTTCCCTAGAAATTGTTCGAGCCATGACACATGTGATCAACCAAGGGATGGCGATGTACTGGGGCACCTCACGGTGGAATGCGATGGAGATCATGGTATTTTCATTTCTATTGTCTCATGGCCATTGGGTGCCTTATTATTATTCATCAGATGCCATATGGGAGTTGCAAACTCTTTCACCAAGTGTTCTCGCTCTTGCTGTGACACTGGATCAACCACATCATGAGCGCAATGGATCTTAGGGCTGGATCACCTCCCAACCGACTGCAACAGGGTGGGAGGGGTGCTTGCTTGATTTAGCATGTTATTGGGTGGCAAGAAGAAAAAATTAATTTCACAACTAAAGAGAAATATGAAAAGTCATTTAGCTTTCCTTTTTTGAAAATATTTAAAAATTTTAAATAATTTTTAAAAAGAGAAAATATTGTGTTCACAACAAACTGTAGTGCTGATGGAGCCCCAGGTGGTACAAATGGTGGATGTGCTTGTTGCTAACTGAAAAGTTGGCAGTTCGAGTCCACCTAGAAGTCCCTGGAAGAGAGCCTTGGTGATCCGCTTCTAAAAAACCAGCCACTGAAAAGCCTGTGGCACCCAGTTCTACTCGCGCACACGGGGTCGCCCTGGGTCAGAGCATTCCAATTGGTAATTGCTAAATGCTGTTTCTGGTGGTGTAGTGGCTGCGAGTTAGGCTGTGATCGTATGGTTGGCAGTTCGAAACCACCAGAGGCTTGGGAGAAAGACGGGGCTCTCTACTCCCATCAACAGTTACCGTCTCAGAGACCCGCAGGGGGGTCACTGTGAGTCAGCATTGACTCCATGGCAGTGAGGGTTTGGGAGGATTGAGTTTTTATAATATGCTAATTGAAGATCATTCTTATATATTCATCTAAATTTTGTGTCTTTATGAACCTAAAAATAGACAAACCACATTTTGTTGATATAGTCCATAGCATATATGTTGAATTTTCCCCTGGATTTCCAAAGAAGGATATAAATTTTCCACATTTGGTATTGCTCTTAGTGGAATTAAGAACTCTGGTGGAGTCCTGGGCTATGCACTGAGCTCCTAACCTTAAGGTACACTGTTCAAACCCACCAGCTGCTACACAGGAGAAAGATGAGGCTGTCTATCTCGGTCCAGATTTAAAGTCTGGGAAACCCACAGGGGCAGTTCTACTCTGTCCTGTAGGGTCGCTATGAGTCAGAACCAACTTGATAGCAATGAATGAATTGGTGAAGTTGGTCCCTTAACTTGCTTAGTATTTTGCATCCTCTATGTTTCTTGGTTTGCCCTGTCCCAGAAAACGAAAATTTCTCACTACATAAAGTCACAGGGAAGTCTTGCTAACTAACCATCAGCATAAATTCAGTTGCAATTTCATTTCTCTCTAGGAAGCCTATTCGGTAGCAAGACAGTTCAATATGATCCCACCAGTCTGTGAACAAGCTGAATACCATCTTTTCCAGAGGGAGAAAGTGGAGGTTCAACTGCCGGAGCTCTACCATAAAATAGGTAATCTCTAAAATCAAATGTATGGATTACTTCTAATAATAGGAGGATCATTGATTTAATAAAGGAAAAAAAGATACCTTGTCAAGATACCTTCCACATGGCCCTAGCCAACAGAGGTCAGAACGGAGCATTCCAGAGACTGGAAGAATTCCATCACCACATTAAGTCTACAGGGGGTCACTAATTGAGAGCCAAGCAGAGTGCTAAATTGTAGCCAGCAAATAAGCTGTACTCAGCGGGTATTCAATAAATGAATATAAAATTGAGGAAAGATCCTGAATACATTCATTTTTCATCAGGTTGCTAGCTCTAGCTTTGCACCTCCCACTGACCTACATATATGTATACCATTCCATAAACATAGAGAGATGTGTGTGTATGTGTGTGTGTGTGGTGTGGAGATGGATTCTCTTCCCTTGTGTACAAGGCTGACAGCCACAAGACATAGGTCACCCATGACTCTACCCTCCATCCTTCTCTAGCCTATTCTGACACCAATGGTTTCCCCACAGCCCTCTACTTCTCTTCTGGGTTTGATCATCTATTGCAATAGTCACACAGAACTCAGAGACAATACTCACAATTGTGGAGGTTTACCAGGAAAACTACAGACTACCAGAAACCAGGATCAGAAAACAGTCAGGATCCGGTCACTGGTTCTCAGCAACACCGCCCCGCAGCCAGCAGTCATTGAGTCTCCCTCTCTGATCCTCAACCTCTCGGTCCTATGGTCCCTTGGCCTCTGTATCCATGGACCAGGAAGCCCAGTGCTGCTCTGCCTCCTAGTCCCAGTCTCCACACTGTCCCTCTGCTCTTTCTCATGGTCTCCTTGCCTTGGCCTCTGGCCTCAGCAGGCCCTGGCCTCCACCGCTTCCACCACTTCAGGTAGGGATTGTGAAAATGTTCCACTGGTAGCTCTTCTTCCTTGCTGGTCCCAGGAATTCTGTCTCCCTGCTTCTGCGATGGCTGTCTTATACACAGGGGAATGGCAACCAATACTGACCGATTCCCTCTGTTCATATTTCATATACCCTCTTTGCATGGTCACACCCAATTATTTGATGGGAGTCACAGAGCAATAACTAGAGGAGACATAGTCAGTAATTTCCCTTCATCCTAATATGTCTTATATGTGTGCATGTATGTGTATCTATACCCCCTATTTCATATATATAGTATGCATATGTCTTACGTATGTCGTGATGTATACAAATATATGTATGTGTCATAGGAAGCAGTGGTGGTTCAGTGGTAGAGGGAGTCCTGGGTGGGATTCCTGTCCAATGCCCCTCAGTGCAGCTTCCCCTGGTCTGTCAGTAGAAGCTTGTGTTAATGATAACGCTGCACACTCTCAATGGAGCTTACAGACGAGGAGGAAAGGCTGGATGACCTGCTTCTAAAAATCAGCCACTGAAAACCCGATAGACCATAGCAGATCTCATTGTTCATGGGCCATCATGAGTCAGGGACGAACTCAGCAGAAACCAACAACAACGTGTTTTGTGTATGGAGACGGTTATCTCTAGCGCCTACCTAAGCCTGGCATTGAGTTAGACACAGAAAATTCACTAACAACTGAGGAGCTGAGCCCTACATGATTTCTGAGAGAGGGAATTGTGGGCATCAGGAAAAGGTGAATGAAGCCCATGATTAGGTTCATTTGTCAAGTTTCCAATGAAAACTTTCTTCTGTAGAAATAAAATGGTAGGGGGGTGGGGAGTAGAAGCAAAAAAGAAATAAAATGGTAAAGGGGGAAGGAAGAGAAGATTAACATTCAGCAATAGCAACAATCAATAATAATTATTTTTTGTGCACTCCTGAATTGTGGGTTTACTATTCAACTAACATTGGACTCTTCTGATGCCCCAAGCACTGTGTCAGACACGGGATAGACAAGCAAAGCGCTGGATTTCTGTGGAAGTGGAGAGGGTCTTGTCTCGGAGTGTTAAAAAAATGAGAATATGAATTCTGGACATCCAAAACTCATGGATGAGTCACATTTTCAGGCTTGTTTCTATGAATCAGTCCTAAGAACTAGTGGTGTGGCTTCTTTGGTTTATAAAGAAGGAAACCCAATGTGGGTTTCTCCCCAAATGTGAGCGGAGAGCTGTCTGCTGGAATGAACTCATTTCCCTGACCACCCCTTCCCCCTGAAGCACTCCTGGGGTCCTCATGAGTCCCGGGCTAACCCAACAAGTCCTGGAGCCCCTGGCTGGGGACTCCAGCACAGGGGAAGGTTGGCGTCCTCCCCAAAGCCCTCAAAAGAAAGATCTCAGGAGGTGCTTCTCAAAACCAGCCCTGGAGAACCCTCAGGAGCACAGCCCTACTCAGACATACATGAGCGGTGGCAGGAGTTAGACTCCATTCAGTAGCAACAGGGTGTGTTGTTTCAATTCGTGTGGATGGTAAAAATACATATCTGGAACACAACATTAGCGAATTGACTGTTTTTCACACAGACAATGCCGTGTTCCCTGTCGCAGTCAGCATGTCGTGCAACCATCGCCAGACACCACTGGTTCTACCGAGCCCTAGCTAAACAGCCCTGCACTTTGGACCCTCGTTTCCACAGGCCCCTTCGTGACAGTGTTTTCTTCTGCTGCAGGGGTCGGAGCAATGACGTGGTCTCCGCTTGCCTGTGGCATCATCTCGGGGAAATACGGAAATGGAGTGCCCGAAAGCTCCAGGGCTTCCCTGAAGGTATTTCCCCCACCCTCTAGAAAAGTGACTTCTCATGGAGTTCTGAAGTTGAGAAGGGAGCGGGGGGAGGATTGAGTCTACCAAACCCAAAATAGCCTCAGACTCCCTGACTCTGACCCATGTAGCCTTGGCCCCGGAGTCCTCAGGAAGTCTCTGCTAGGGCAGAACATTCTCTTGTGGGAATGAGAGACAAGTGCTCAATGACCGGGTGGCCCATGGAGGGCTCTGATTGGGTTATTTATTCTGATACTGAAGAAGGCCTTTAATTTCTCTGTTAACATGGACGAGAACTTTAATTCTTTTCTAGCTAACAAGGAGCTCTGCTGGCACTCGGGGATAAGCATTGGACTGCTAACTTCAAGGTCGGCAGTTCAAGCCCATCGTCTGCTCTTCAAGAGAAAGATGAGGGTGTCTGGTCTCATGCAGATGGACACTCAGAAACTCTGTGTAGGGTCACCACCAGTCTGAGTCGGCTTGATGGCAGAGGGTTTGGGTTTGCTTTCAGGAGTTCCGTGTTCTCTGTTGGTAGCCAAAATGGTTGGCAGTTCAAATCTACCCAGAGGCACTTGGTAAGAGACAGAGAGAGAGAGAGAGAGAGAGAGAGAGAGAGAGAGA